ATGGCGCGGCGGGTTGGCAGGGCCGTGGGCCCGGAGGGATGCTGCACCCAGGGCTGTATGGCCATGGAGGGGCATCCGGCCATGCCACCACGTCCCCCTGCTTTATCCCTCACCTTACTTGGGCAGCCAGGAGCGAAATCTCTGTTATTCCTCCTGTCCTTCCCCATTTGGCAAACAGCGTTCCTGTTTTCCCTGGAGTTTCATTTCTAATGGAGCTTGAAATTATCTGGGCTTTGTTACTTGCTTGCGTGCTTGCAGGCAGGGGTTATGGATGGGGGCAGCGACGTGGGGCTGCCCGCGCTCCCTCTGCCGCCTCCACGCACACCACCGTGCCCCAAAACCACCCGTGCTGTGCCCAGCAGTGAAACCCTGTCCCCAGCAACTCTTACATCTGCAGCTCAATGTATAGCTATTTTTTTTTCCTCAAGGAAAAAGGGCGTGCTGGGCTCTGACCCTTCAAATGTCCCTTTCCAGCACCCAAAAGGTGGGGAGAGGTGGGAGGCAGGGGGGCAGCAGGCAGAGGAAGAGGGGAGCTTCCCAGTGTAGCAATGGAAAATGCAGTGAGGAAGAAGAACTGGGAGAAAAACAACAGTAATAAACATTTTATGAAGCAGAAAATGGCTTATAAAGAAGTCAACTTTTAAAGGCAATTTATATAATCCTGCCAAGTGCACATAAATGCGGGGATGGCTCTCTGCAGTGTCGGAGGGGTCCCGTAAGGGGACAAATAGCCCTGGCAGCCCCAGCACACCGACATGCAGTGATGACGATGCCCTGGGATGCATTTTGCAGCTGGCGGCACAGACCTATGCCTTCGACAACATCCCCCGGGTCAGCACGGCCCCGGCTCCTGTGCACCGTGAGGGTGCGGGATCCCGCTGATGGTGCTGGGATGAAGCTGAAGGTCTGGAAAAGAACCTAAGGCACTGGAAAACCCTGGAGGAAAGCAGAGCACGTGGGCAGAGAGGAACTGGGAGAACACGGAGCTTGCTGGGACGCCTGACAGGCAGCATGGCAACTTGTCAGCGAGGATGGATACAAAGGATGGCAGCAAAAAACTCAACATGACCTTCCAGTGTTTTTACAGGTACATTTTGCAGGTCTCTCGCCTGAGCAGGGTGACAAACAGGATGGAAGCCTGGTGAACAGCATCGCAGCATGGGCTGCGGCCCTGGCATCTCCATCTGCTGCAGGGATGGTCTGCAGTGGAGGGCTCAGCACTGCTGCTGTGGCTGGGGGACAGGGCTGGGGACATCCAGAGTCCTGATGTGCCTTGAGGGACAGTCCCCCATGGCTCTGCACAGAGCGGAGCCAGCCTGTCCCAGCAGGGCCTCTGCAGAGTCCTGGATGCAAGCCCAGAGGCCAGAAGCTTCTTACTGGGACAACTGGTTGGCCAGGCCACTGCAAACTGCAAGCTTTATGTCATTTCTGATCATACCAGTGCCAGGCAGTCGCAGTGCCCCATGGTGGGAGCCTGCCCCGGGACCACAGGACCCAGCTCTTGCCTTTCCGGGACTCTGCCAGGCTTTGCCAGTGGGTGAATGTGCATCCCTGAGGGACCCTTGCTGTGCAGGGCATTGCCTCTGCCCCCTCCAAATCACCACCCCACACCGCAGCCTGCCCCGCCGTCTCCCCCATCCCTGCGCACGGTGCCACCTTGAGCTGCCACCCAGCCCCGGGGTGAAGCAAGATGGAGGGACAACACGAGGGGTGCCCTGGGTGCAACTGCATGGGTGGCCTTGTGGCCAAGAGGTCTTTCAGCCAAGGGAAGTGCTCTGGTGTCCAGGGCAGCTCTGGGGACATGTGGGGACGTGGCCCTGGCTTGGCCCAGCCAGGAGACATGGAGGGGCCTGAGGGTGGGCAAGGACAAAGAGCAAGGACGGGGCAGGACAGCATGGGGCAGCAGGGAGTGTTTTGGGAGCTTTGCAAAGCCCCCTGAGGTGGGAGGTCAAATGTAACCCCTTCAGAAAGGCCAGCATGGCTGGGGTGTGGCTGGGAACACCAAAAAAACCCAAGAAGAAAGAAACTTTCCCCATAGAGATGGGTCGTGAGCGATTGCTGGCAGCAGCCTCCCAGCCGCTCAGGCTCCTGCTCCTGCTTCATTTTCCTCCGGACTTCCATAGCAACCCATCTGCAGCAAGGTTTAATGAGGCTGCCATTAACACTAATGCAGCACAAACACTCAGCATCTGCCGGCGCGCCTTCAGATGAAAACACAAAAATAACCGAGTGCTCCGCAATCTGTCATCGACTCCGGTGCGAGGTTAGGACGCGACATGCGGGGAGAGGAGGGGAGAGCTGCGGCCAGAAGGAACAAACCGCTCGGTGGGAAGGGAGGAGAGGAGGAGCTGGGGATGCTGCGCTGCTGCCTTCCCTGCCCACTGCCCGTGCCAGCACCGGCAACAAGCCGGGGGCTGCAGCAGAGCCAGCGTCACCGGTGCTGGCATGCAGGTCTGACCATGCCCTGCCATTTTACGGATCAAGGATGGCAAAAGAAGGTTCAACCCCAGCAGCAGGAGCCACGTACGCAGCCCCTCCATCCCTCTGCTCTGCCTGGGAACCAGGGCTGATGCAGGCAGGGCCTGGCAGGGCTGGTGCAGGCAGGGCTGGTGCAGGCAGGGCCGATGCAGGCAGGGCCTGGCAGGGCTGCCTGCTGGCGGGGAGCAAAGGCACAGCACTCTGGGTGCTGTGCACAGAGCTGGGCCAGTCCATCAAGTGTCCCAGACAGGTCTGGGCTGTCCTGATAAAGCTGCAGCGAGCTCTGCGGTGACGCATCGCTGCACATTGTTTCTGGGTGACTCGCTCCTAATTACCTTGATTAAGTGGTTGCAAACAGTGCTATTAAAAATATTTTTTTCTACGAAAGTGGATTTCTGAAAGGTTTGTGCCATGAATGGCAAAATGAGCCAAGAGCTCCCCAGCGCTACAGCCTTTCCCAGCATCTTTTGTATCCTGACTGTTATCCCCCTCGCAGCAAAAAGCAGTTGGGTCTGGATGGAGAGGGAGCTCTTTGGGGCTGTGGAGGGGCCCTGCAGCAGGAGCCCCTGCAGCACGGCAGCCGCCTGTCCCTGTGGCCCAGGGGATGAGCAAAAGCACCGAGTACTGCTGCAAAATGCAGGGACCTTGCTCCAGCTCTGCCTGCCCCGCCTGTGCCCCGGCCACAGGCATCCCCCCCCCAGGTGACAGCCCAGCGCAGGGTGCTTGGGGCCACCATGATGGCCCTGGGGTGCCCATGGCCAAGCTTCGGGCGCTGCTCGGGGATGAGCTGCCCTGGGGCTCCCCGCAGGACACACAAGATCAGGCCAGCACTAGGGATGGAGACGAGAGCCCATGGGAGGTGCCCATGGCTCCCAGTCTCCCCTGGGGTGCTGGTGAGGCACTGGTGTTGGCATCAGCCGCTGCCCACACCAAACCTCGTTATCCTCTTAACCTCCCCTCCACCAGCCTCCTGGGAAGAGGTGACAGTAATTCATGCAGAAAGGTCTCGGTGACAGCTGGTGCCAGTGACAACTGTCTGCTGGACACGGGGGCCAGCAGGGACACCTCACCTCTCCTTAGTGAGGCTGCTTCTGCTAATGATGGGAAGACCTCTGCAAGCTCAGCCTCCCTGTAGGACACAGCTCCTGGAAGGATGAGAACCAGCCACAAGCATCCACCCCTGGCCACATGGTGAACAAAAGCCAAGCAGGTCGATGCCTTGCCCTCTCTTCTACTCCTCCTGCCTCTTCCTCTCCACATCAAACCCTGGTGACCATTGCCAATGGTGGGAGGGTCTGCATGAACAGGATGTGGCTCCGGGTCCTCATCTCCTCTCCTCCCTGAGCACGTTGCAGTTGCAGACAGAGAAATACCCCCCAAGACACTCCAGCAAGGCCTGGCAGCGGGGCTGTCCCCAGGCTGTCCCCTCAGCAACTGCAGGGGGTTCCTCGAGGCCGGGCAGGATCTGGCCCAACAGAGGAAGGGGCTGGGTGGCTCAGAAGTATTTTTTATTGTAGACTCCATTTGCACTGGAAGGAAAACAATCTTTCCTTCCTTTTGTATTATTGTTATAATTTGAGAGCATTTCCAGACAGAATCCTTCAGGTTCCCGCTGAGCGCTATCACCGCCAGAATTACAAAGTCAAATGCAATCATTAAACCCGCATCTTCCCTCTCCCAGCCCAGATTGCTCCTTCCCCCCAGAAACAGCCCCCACCGCAACTGCTGGCAGGTGACACAGACGAGCCACCGCTGCCGTCACCCTGCATGAGACCCTGCTCAGCACCAAACCCACCGGCTGCTGGAGATGGCAGGGGGGTAAGAGTCTCCCTGGCCCCCAAACCCTCAGCGCTGAGCCGCCAGCTCGACCTTCATCTCCTGCCTTCTTAACGGCGTGTGCAGGCAGAGGCGAGGCTGCAAACGAGCTCAAAATCACTTCATTTGCTCTCGTTAGTGCTGGCAAGCGGCGGTGCCGGGGCTGCTGCGTGCTGAGCAGCACTGCACGGCCCGCGGTAACTCGCGAGGGAGCCGAGAATGGGGGTGAGGAGGGAAGGAAGAGCCGAGGGATGGGAACAGGGATGGGACAAGGAGCTGAGTCCTGTGCCAGGAGCCATCCCTGAGGCCGGTGCCTCCGCGTAGCTCAGTATCCAGGAGGGAAGGGGGTGGAAGTGGCTGGGGCACGCACGGAGCCTTACCCGGATGTTGTCCTGCCAGTGGTGAGCCTTCTGGAACTTCTCTGCCGCGTTGGCAAGTCTCTGCAAAGCAAGCAGGAGAGGATAAGTGAGCCTGGGGAAGGCGAGACGAGCCGGGCATTTCCCACATCAACCTGGGACCATGGATGCCACCCCATCCCTCTGGGGCATCCCCCAAGACCCTGCCACCCCTCCGCCATGCAGGCAGGGGGGCAAAAGGAGGGATGGTGGGCAGCAATGCCCAGAGAAGGATATTCCCGGGCATGGGGAGCCAGTGTTTCTCTTCTTGCTCCCGCCTTTCCCAGAGCAAGCTGGTGTCCCCAGAGGAATTCCTGCTACTTGAACTCAACCAGGGCTGAGCCACCACATCTTGGCGGCTGTTGGCATTACTGCTGGAGCCAGGCAGGCTCTCATTTGCAGCACAGGGCAAGGGCTGAACCCATGTCCCTGTGTCCGAGAACGCCCAGCTCTCTGCAGGGCAGGGCAGACCCTTCAAAAATGCTTCAAACCCCCCACTCAAGGAGCTGGAGAGCAGGAGAGGAACCAGCTATGAGACACAGAAGCTCTGCCTGCCCTTGCTGCCTGCAACGGGAGGCTCCAGGGCTGAGCTGCCTGGCCAGGTCTCACCCAAGGCTGGGGCAAGTACAACCTTCTCCCGCTAAAGCTCACAAGACTTCCAAGGAGAGAAAAGCGTCTCCATCCTGATGGCTCTGGAGGCAGCAGGAAAAAAGGGCAGGCTGCTGCCCACCCTGGGGTAGCCAGAGGAACCAGGGCTCGCCAGGAGCAAGATGGAGCAATGCTCAGCACCGGGGCAGCCTGGCTGGGCTCGGGCTCAGCCACCAGAGGCCTCACCAGCACTGGGGGTGCAGCAGGGCAGGCAGCCTGACAAAGCACAGGTACGTGCTTTGTAAGTAAGATGATGAGCAGTGAAAGACATCACACGTCTGGCCCTCGCCAGCCAGATTCTTCTTATCAGATGCAGCGAAACGCATATCCATCACTGCATAATCTCAACATGTGCTGGCCAAAACTTTGCTGTTTAATGTTTTCTCTTTTTTTATCTTGATTTCCAAATCAAAGTGCTTGCTTTCAATGGCCAGCATCCAAGGGGAAAGATCAGCTATCAGCTGAGCATTGAAGCTGAGCATCAGCTGAGCATACCTATGGCTCCGGTGGCGGAGAGAAGAGAATGGGAGGCAACATGTGGCTGGACAGAAAAGCCAAGTAATGTTAATTTTCAGGGCAGTTTTGTGGGGGGCTCACCTGCGCAGCCACAGCCCTGCCTCCCTGGAGTCGCCTAGAAAAGCTGTGGCCCAAATTCTGCACCTCATTCCCCCAAGCTTTTTGTGCTCTGTTTATGTATCGAGATGGCTGATTAAAGGCAAGCATTTATTCTGAGTCGCGTTTAAGGCAGCAGTGATGAAATATGCATTTTTCTATACTTGATAAGAGCGTGTTTATTATGGGCCGGGGTAAGATTTATGGACATCTTTAACTATTCATCGCCTTGTGCAAAGTGCCTGGAGGGTTGCAAATGGCATAGTAAGGGACGGCTACACCCAGGAATGACACTTCAACAGAAGATATTTTTCCTCTGGAAAATGAAAATTTGTTAAAGTCGACCTGGACACAAGTTTGTTTTTTAAAAAAAATAAATCCAGATGTTTTTGTTTGATAAATAGCATGTTGCAGGGACAGGGGAGCCCGCGGCGAGATGGCACAGCCATAACAGGGTGCTGTGCCGGCTCCCGGCAGACACCCACCCCGGGAGAAGCGCCCCAGAGCCTCCCAGCTGTTGCTTCTGCAGCATTTTCCTTGCTGAAGACATTTTGATGATGTGATGGAGAGGGGTACTGGGAGGAGAGAGGGACCAAGCGGGCATCCAGCTGTCCCTCCTCTGCAAATGGGGGATCCTCTGCCCGTCTCCATCCCTGCTGGAGGACATGCTCGGAGCAATGTTGTGCCGGGGGGCTCCCATGGGAGCAGCCCCAGCCCATCCTTGGCTGGCGTGCTCGGAGCCACACATTGCTTCAGGACGTCCCCATTAATGCCAAATGAGTTCATCATGAATAACATTATAGTGATCAATACAGCTCAAGGATTATTTCCAATCCTCAATAATGATTAAACCATTATTTTTCAAGTGTTACAGATCAATCAGTCCATCTCAAGGTGTGCTGCGTGCAGGGACTGCGAGATGCCCGAGATGCAGGCAGCATGCCGGGGAGCTGGGCAGGGGTCTTGTGCCTGTACACAGCAGGCATGGAATCCTCCCAGGGGCTTTGGACCTGGGGTTGTCAATTGTATGGTTCAAACAGCAAGAAAAATTAGACTAATTATCAAAAATAAGGCATGGGTGTGAAATATCTGCAAATTTCCAGCAGGCTCTGCTGCAGGGACTGCCCCTGCATGGCACTTTAAGGAGCATGGTTCTTTCCCCAGAAGTCACTGAGGGCTGAGGACAGGAGATTTAGAAGCTGGAAACGCCAAATTGAAATGACTCTGCAGGTCACAAAAGGCCAGCAGGAGATTTGCAAGGGATTCGTGTCTGGTGATCCCCACGGTGGGGGTCTGAGAGGGGGAAGGTGCTGTGCCGGCTTTATCGCACCTCAGCCTCTTTCATATTCCACACAGCGCTCCTCTCCACCTCACTGCTCACCCAGGCAGATCCATCAGGAGCTCCCTGCTCGGCTCACTGCCTCATCTGGGATTAAGGAGCCTCAGGGATGGCAGGGACTCGGGATGGGCAGGCACTGGCAAAGGTGGCATGGCTGGGGACGCACTCTCCCCCCTGAAAGCCATGTGGGAAAGGAGAGGGAGGACACAGTGGGTGATCTTCTGTCTGCCTAAAGGATGGCACCTCTGAATGCACGGCTGCTGTTTTTTCCCCCATTTTGCTTTACTTCCCAGCCCCGATCACCCACAAGCTCACCCCCCACACCCCAAGCATGGCTCACCCACGCGTGCGTGCCCACGGCAGCACCTTTTGGGGGCAGCTGGTCTGATGCCCTGAAGCTGCTGGGAGCGAGGTGGTGGGAAACGGTCTGAATATTGGAGCTGGTGCAGACAGGGACTGCAATGTCCTCCCTAGGCGGAAGGGACCGTGCCCGCTGTCAGCATCCCCAGTGCTTGAGGGGCCAGCGTGCAGAGAGACTGTCCCTGACACAGCAAGCACCCAAGGGTGGCTGCCCACCTCCTCCTCACCGTCCCTTCTCCCCCATTGCACCTGGGGCTCTCCTGCACTGCTCTAATATTTTTGCACAGTGGCTTTCCAAGGGAAACAAGTCCAACGCTTTGCTAAATCTCTCTTCCCAGCCCCCACGTGGCAATAAGTATGCCCTGACTGTTCCTGACTCCGTCAGATCAGTGGATTTAACCTGGGAGGCAGTGGAGCAGAGACCAGAGCAGCATGGGGAGGCCAAAGGCCAAGGTTGGATTTATAAAACAGGATTACGGCAAACACCCTGCAAGAGGAGACTGAGCAGCCCCGCGTAACGGCAGCAGCGCTGCCCCTGTGTCCCAAGCCTCCCCACGGACATAAAGCACCCCACGCCTATGCCAATGCTGGGGGGATGTTCCCTGGGGAGCCTGGGATGGGGTCCCCGGCTTCTCCTTGCAGCCGGTAAGGAAGGGCCCGGCGATGGCCCGGCACGCAGTGGCTGCATGTGCCCAGGGGTATTTCCTCGGAGGGAGAGCTACTCCTGCTAAGCCTTCACTTAACTCCCCTCCATGTTGCTGTTATCGCCCTCCTCTCGATGCCTCCTGAATGGCGCGAGGTGTATTAACCTCCCGCACCTGAGCGCACAGCTGGAAGGAGATCTTTGCTGGAGATTAAAGCAGCCCTGTGCTACCCGGCCAGGGAGGTCTGCGCAGCATCTCATCATCCCTGCCCTCCTCCCAAAGTGAGAAAACACAGGTAAAAGGTTAAGATGAGAAGGTGAAAAACAAACACATGCGACGAAGCCAAGCAACCCAAACCCTGGGCAGGAACACCCCCTGGGAGTTGGTTTTGCAGCTCTTCCTCCTCCGGAATGGAGGAATAGTATGACTCAAACCCCTCCTCTGGCACCAACCCCCCCTCCATGGATGGGCCACCCCGAAACCACATCTGTCACCGTGGGGCATCCAGAAAGGCAAAAGCCCCGTTCCACATCCTTCATGCGCCTCCGTCCCAGTCTGCCTGCATGGATCAGAGCAGAGGGCACCTCCTTGCTGCGCCGCAGCGACACCTCCTGCCGCCAGCTCCGGGGTGCCCCCGCCCTGGCTCTCCTTCGGTCCCCAGCCTGTCCTCTCCCTGTGGCCCCTGCAAGAGGAGACTGAGCAGCCCCGCGTAACGGCAGCAGCGCTGCCCCTGTGTCCCAAGCCTCCCCACGGACATAAAGCACCCCACGCCTATGCCAATGCTGGGGGGATGTTCCCTGGGGAGCCTGGGATGGGGTCCCCGGCTTCTCCTTGCAGCCGGTAAGGAAGGGCCCGGCGATGGCCCGGCACGCAGTGGCTGCATGTGCCCAGGGGTATTTCCTCGGAGGGAGAGCTACTCCTGCTAAGCCTTCACTTAACTCCCCTCCATGTTGCTGTTATCGCCCTCCTCTCGATGCCTCCTGAATGGCGCGAGGTGTATTAACCTCCCGCACCTGAGCGCACAGCTGGAAGGAGATCTTTGCTGGAGATTAAAGCAGCCCTGTGCTACCCGGCCAGGGAGGTCTGCGCAGCATCTCATCATCCCTGCCCTCCTCCCAAAGTGAGAAAACACAGGTAAAAGGTTAAGATGAGAAGGTGAAAAACAAACACATGCGACGAAGCCAAGCAACCCAAACCCTGGGCAGGAACACCCCCTGGGAGTTGGTTTTGCAGCTCTTCCTCCTCCGGAATGGAGGAATAGTATGACTCAAACCCCTCCTCTGGCACCAACCCCCCCTCCATGGATGGGCCACCCCGAAACCACATCTGTCACCGTGGGGCATCCAGAAAGGCAAAAGCCCCGTTCCACATCCTTCATGCGCCTCCGTCCCAGTCTGCCTGCATGGATCAGAGCAGAGGGCACCTCCTTGCTGCGCCGCAGC